ACGGAGGTCGAGTGGGAGAGCAGCGGACGGCAAGATCGGGTGCGGTTCACACGGAACAACAAGTGGGGGAGTTGGTGTTTTGCCCAGAGGAACGTCATTATCCAAACGTAGATCAGGGGTTTCTCTACAAACCATGTCGAAAACTCTTTACGACTGCCTCGTGTCTGGTGGGTCTCTACAGTACGGCCGACCGCATACTCAAAGGCAGAAAGACCAAAAAGAAAGGTGAACAAACACACTTTTCCCCCCTCCCCCTCCCCCCTGCCCCCCCGCCCCCCCGCTCTCTTCCTCCTCCTTGCTCCTTTGATTGAGCTCGAATCCCGTCGTCATGATGTGTACAGCTACATAGCAGTGCATGAAACAACACGATACCTGATGACTCCCTCCTCGAACTCGTCCTTGTCCAAGTTCCTGAGGCCGATAACGAACGTCTCGTCGAAGACACAGCTGAGACACGCCTCCTTCACCTCGGTCGCGAACTTCTGACCGAACGCCTCCACGTACACCACGGGGTCCGACGTGCCCTGAAAATTTCGTCGTTGTTATCGTTGTCGTTGTCGTTATGTGTTCTTCTTGTCCTCAACCGTTGGTGTTGTTGTTGCTACTGATGCTTCTGTTGCACTCTCCAACCACCCCCAGGTACTTCTCCTCCGATCCTTGACCCGCCCTCCCCCCGCAGCCGTATTGCAACGGTCACATCTCCCGTTTTGGACACCCTGTTCGCCAGATTCCTCCTGCAATGGTGCTTCTGTTGTTGCTGCTGCTGATACAGGTTTGTTACATTTGGTGTTTCGCGGGCATCAGTTTTGTCCTGTTCCTTTGACACATGTTTGTTTCTGCCCTATGTTTTCAGAAATTCGTGCCATGTCTACAAGTACATTACTCGTCTTGGCTGATAATTTGTACCACTAAATATTGTCTCACCTGCAGGTCCTCGGCCTTCAAGTCTCTCGCCTCTATGATGTGGACGTAGATCGTGTAATCGCCGGACTTAACCTGCACGTCAACCACGGGCATGTCACACATGACGGTCATCCACACCTCAAACGTGACGCCATGCCACGCAGTGTACCGGGACACGTCAGGTCAAGTTAACACACAAGCAGGGCGGCGTAGCGCGCCTACCATGCGGTCCAAGAAACCATCTTGTCACGCTGACCTGCCCCTAACAAAGGGAAGACACCCAACCATACAAAACCAACCCCCAAAAAGACGGCGCGCTACCACCACTGACCACTGACTGCCACAGCAGCTGCTGGGGTGTCCGCCCGACATCCCCCTACCCTACCCTACTCTATTCTACTCTACCGTGGCGTACCTCGATGTCCATGAGCTCCTGCTGCATCGCCTTCTTCTCGGCCTCGCGCGCCTGTTCCGCCTTGTCCCGCATCTTGGCCTTCACCTTCGACTTGGACTTTTTGCGGCTGAGGGGTTCGTTCTCTTCCTCCTCACCCTCCGCCGTATCCGAGGAGTGGTCGTGAAAACCTTTTAATATATATTTTGTGTGTGTGTGTTTTTTTTTTTTAATATATTTTTTTCATGTTGTTTGCAACAAGAGAGCAAAACGACAAGAGACGTAAAGATGGACAGGAAAGAGGGAGAACGTGCGCGGGAAGGAGGGGCTGTAAAGAACATTTCCACAGCAGCAGAGGTGCAAAACGCAAAAATAGGTGACAGCAGCGAAAATCATCTCCCGGGCGACAAGACTTGGGCGACCGTCAGGTTTCATTGCTCAGGCAGTATAATCTACACCTTACGGGCGGGAGGGGGGGGGTGGGGGGGGTGTGAAATACTCTGCCGTCGGTACGTCGAGGTCTCGACCTGGGGTTATGTACGTCAGACTACAGACGTAGTGTTGCGAGAGAGCGGAACACTAAACTATTTAATAAATCAATCCCTACAAGCGGCGTGCGCACGGGAGGGGTGTGTGGGATATACACAATGACTGCTGTCGCTTGCTAGTCCTCCCGCCACAGAAGGAAAGACGCAAAGAAGGGAGGACAGATTGTGAAAGTAGGAAAATTGAAGAAAACTATTTGAAGAAAAAGGCAGCAGTGAGGAAGGTAAAGGAAGTGAAAGAGGGAAGGG